ATTAATCACAGAGAGCAATGGTTCCAGAGTCTTATTGTTAGGTGACTTGCCTTTTCCATCACTGAAATTTATTTCCATTTTTTGTGATATGTACAAAGTATACATAATAATGAAATACACTCTGCCTAATCAGCAGCCAATCATTAGAGTATAAAGTTTGTTCAGTCCATTCTATTTGAGATTTACTTAAACACAGCAAAGTATTGTAAAAAGTGAGTAGCTTCATTTTCCCATAATTGTCATTTTAGAAGAGTAAGCAAACACTAGAAAAATGATCCAAAAGCTAACTTTTTAAAATAATTAAATAATTTTAGTAAACATCATATTAGACTGTAAATACTTACTTCAAATAACATTTATTGATATGCTTATTATTGGCATACAATTATGAAAAGCCTGGCACAAACCAGCCCTCCAGGAGCTCAGGATTTAGTTGAGGGAAAAGTCATTTATCTTATAGCACAAGTCAGCTGTACTAAGTGCTATTCTAGTGCAAGGGTACAATCCGATAGTCAAAAAGAAGAAAGTGATGGGTTCTATTTGGAAATGATTAAGGAAGACTAAGTTGGAGATCATCTAAAACAAATGGAGCCTTGAAGAAGAAAAAGAAAACCAGAGTAAAATATCATATTTTTGAGAAATTTACCGATTTGGCTAAAATATAAAATGAGTGTGTAGTGGAAAGTGATCAGAGCTAAAACTGAAAGGAGTAGATGGAATCTGATTGAATGATATCCTGAGAAATTTTGACTTTTTCTCCAGACAGCAATGTGATCAGAACTTTAAGAAGAGTATTGGCAGCAGAAAGAGATTGGAATCAGAGAAACTATTGTTTTAGTGTAGGACAAAAGTAAGTTACATGAACTAGAAATAGGAATCATAAGAAAAGGAGAGAATAGATTGAAGAGATATTATTAAAGAAGAATTGGCATAATGTATCCACAGTAGAATATACTTGGTGAGGTTCAAGTTGGAGATAAGAGTCTAGGATTTTGAATTTATAAAATAAAGATAGTGCCTTAACTATGAAACAGAAGGCCAAAGTGGAAACAGATTTAGGGGAAGACATAAATATAAAAATTTAATAAATGTTGAACTTGAAGCACAAGGAGCCATTTATGTAGAGATGTTCAGAAGGAAATGGAAATTTAAGTCTGATATTCAAAAAGGGTGCTAGAACCTTAGACATAGAAATTATTCCCCATCGAGGTTGTTGAAGCTGTCAGAGCAAATAAGTTCACCAAAAAGAGTGTTTAAGGTAAGAAAAGAAGGACTAAAGGATCATAGGTATTGCTTACTGTATTAGTTATCTATTGCCGCATAACAAATTAACCCAAAACTCAGCAAGGTAAAACAACCAACATTTATTATCTCACAGTTTCTAACGGTCAGGAATCTGAGAGAAGCTTAGCGGGGGAGGAGGGGGGGAGAGTGTTCTGGCATAGAGTCTCTTTTATGGTTGTTAGCCAGGGCTGCAGGATCTTACTGGGGATGGATGATCCTTTTGCAGAATAACTCACTCATATGGCTGTTGGCTGGAGACCTTAGTTCTTTGCTGCATGACTCTTCCCATAATGCTGCTCATAGCATGGCAGCTAACTTTCCCCAGAGTTGAATGATCCAAGAGGGAGAACAAAGAGAAAGCCATGGTGTCTCTTATGCCCTGGTCTCCAGTGTCACAGATAGTCGGTTCTGCTTTACTCTTTTCATTATAAGATAATCACTTAGTCCAGCCCAACTCAAGAGAGGGGAATTAGGCTCCATGTCAGAAAGGAGAAATATCAAAGTATCTTTGGATATACTTCAAAACCACCATACTTTGGGGCGGCGGGTAAAACTGATAAAAAGCAAGTGAGTGTCTTAGAATCAGAATGAAGATAGGGCATTATCATGCTAGTCTAAGAATACAATAGTTCAAAAAAGAAAGATTATTTAATGGTGTCATATTTTGTAGAAAAGTTAATGAACATGAAGAAGAAAGGCATTAAGATTTAGCTGGAGCTCGTGGATAGGCAGACTTGAACAGAGAAGTTTTAGTAGAAAAGTTTAGCAGAATTCCAATTACAAAGATTTGAGAAATATGAGGAAAGAAAGTACAATTGATAAATAGATCAGTCTCTTTGTAAGCCTGATATTGAGAAGAGATTTTGAGAAGGCTGAGTAGAGACAGGTTTTAGAGTAGAAAAATCATATAACATATATTTTCAAAGAGAAGAGCTGGAGAGAGAAATAGATATAAAACAGTACATGGGTGATGATAAAGGAAGAAGAAATGATGACAAATGATTAACTTTGGAAAGCAGAAATGCCTCTTCTTTTTTTCTGAGACCAAAAGAAATGAAGAAAAAAGGGTAAAGTTACAGAGAAATTGTGGGATAGACAGAAAGAAAGCTGACGGGGTATGTTTTAAATGCTTCTATCCTCACAAAGTAGAATTCCAGATTATTTGTCAAGAGGAAGTCAGTTTGGTACAGTGAGAAACAAAACAATGAAAACCTAGGTTTTTAGAAGTTGAAAAGTTAAGGTATGCATGTGCTTTTATCATTATGCACCACTCTGTTACGCTCTCTCAATTACTATGTTCAACATCTTACACGAATACCAGGATAAGGATAAGACTTGCTTTCGTGTCCTACATATGTAAGAGAAAAATATTTTACTTGGCAAGAATTATTCATTTTCATAATAGACATGAAGGCTCATAAATATCATAATGTTGGTATATGAGCTACTTTTGTAATGTCATTCGAACTAGAATATTAAACTAATGGAATAACTAAAATATTTGCATTTTGATCATATGATAATTTTTTACTTCGGCACTTTTGGATGAAGTATGACAAAATATTTTAGAAAGGCAAGAATATATTTAATGACATTTATCATCTGACTTTCTCTTATATTTTTTTCCCTGAAAAGTTCCTTCACCACATATGCATCCGTCATATTTTTAAGGATTTGAGGCCACTACAATTTACTTTTCTCTTTTCAACAAATGCAGATGTTGAAAGCTGAACCTGTAATGAGTAATAATGTAGTTGGATAAAAGTTGTGAGCATTAATGGTGTCGTAAAGGTCACCCCTGAAAGAAGAATTAATGTATTATGCCATTAATAAAGCATGGAAAACTGTGAACCAAAAGATAACTTAAGATACCATTAATGACATGGGCTCTTTGCTATATATCTATCAGCTACAAATATAGAAAGTAAGTTTTTGAGGTTGGTGACCAATATTACTGTATATTCTATAAGAATGCTTTTGATATGATACGCAAATGATAGGCAGCTCCAAAGAAAGGGACTCCTTTAAAGGCATGAATAGTTCAGAAGAATGATGGATAATTTTAGACTCTTTTGACCAAATGTTATCTTTCCCTTATGGGCCTTTTTCACTTAGGTTGTACATATGTATAACACTTTTAACTTTTTTCAAAGCATTTTTAATCTATGTTCTCACTTCAGCTAACTTTAGAATTATAGACTCTTAACTTGATAGAGCAGATATCCATATCATCCAGATAAAACTTATTTTACAGATAAGGACCTGAAGCCTGTAGAGGTTAAGTGCTTACTGGGGATTCTAAGTAAGTTTCTGTCACAGTGTAGGCAGTTCTATGGTTCTATTTTTATTACCTCTGATTTAATTTCAAAGAAACAAATGTACATAAAGACCTAGTAGCTTGCCTAAACTCACAGCCAGTGGGAGTTGCAGCCTTACAGTCATAGTCTCTGGGTTGACATGCTTTCTTTTCAGTTATTGCCTATTGGTAGTCTGTCTCCATTAGATGCCTTACTCGGTCATTTATTTAACCTTTCACTCATTCGTCCAGTAAATGGATTTAAAATATCTCCTCTACAGTTGCATTTTGCTAAGTCTGGAGGATAAGCAGAAAAGAGTGCTGAACTGAAACTTTAGATGTCTACAGTTTGTCTTAGCATGTCTTTGGAAAATGTTGGATCACATTATTCTTACCCTTCATTCCTCAGAGACATTAACACATGATAAGTAAAACTTTACCTGAGCAAATGTAGTAGATACACATCGAGTCAATAAAATGAAGGGAAATATTTTCAAGTCCATTAATTTGGTTCTTTATTTCTACAACTTGCTAATTTAAAATATAAGGACATGAAGGAGATTACCTTGGAAACGTTTACATTTTTAAAGAGAAAAACTTTTATGAGGGTTAGTTATTGAACAAGAATATTGTAAAAGTTTTATGGAATGCCATTGAATTATCAGGAAGTTAGGGGTATTATTCAACATCTGGCAATTAACATTTGCATAGCACTTTACAATTTGCACACTGCTTTTACATTTATTGTTTAATTAATCCTTGTGAGGTTCTACAGATGAAGAAATGGCTATGTATTATGGTGCTAAAAATGTGATGATGATTTGACCTTAAAAACAGGAAAAAATTAATATTTATTGAAAATAATTTGTAACACCTGTACCCTTACTTTTACTTATAGCTAAAAAGTCTTATGTAAAATAAATATGTAGTAAATAAGAATTCATGTTGTCCTGATAGCATCTGTTAGGTCCATGAATTTTAATAAATCTGTGTCATATGGTATAGGTTTCCATTGATATAATGACATGGAAAGTCAGTGAACTTGGAATTATAAAGGTAGATATGTTCAACTTAGAAATATGCTTTCATTCCTTCAACAGACTCTGTCCTGGAACAAAGGAATAAAAGACTGAAAGAAAAAAAAGCCCTCAAGTAGTTCACAGACTGGTGTGA